CCTCCCTAACCCTTTCTAACCCTCCCTAACCCTCCCTAACCCTTTCTAACCCTCCCTAACCCTTTCTAACCCTCCCTAACCCTTTCTAACCCTCCCTAACCCTAACCCTAACCCTCCCTAACCCTAACCCTAACCCTCCCTAACCATTTTTAACCCTCCCTTATCCTCCCTAACCCTTCCTAACCCTCCTTAACCCTTCCTAACCCTAACCTTAACCCTAACCCTAACCCTTAACCCAACCACATTCCTTAATTGAAAGAAAGTGCCTAGATATTTTAAGGATAGACATGGTACGTTACTGGATGAGCCTAGATATGCCTGGATTTTGTAGGGACGTATTGTTAGTCATCGTTAGGGTTAACTAGGGTTAATTAGGGTTAACTAGGGTTGATAGGTATTGCCTGGATTAGGTTTACCACGTGCCTAGAATCGCTTTACTAGTGCCTGGATTACATTTACCACGTGCCTGGATTTCCAGGGGTGTGCCTGGATTGATATTTTATTGGATAAATGGCGTAAGTGTCGGGTTAGGGTTAGGGTTAGGGTTAGGGTTAGGGTTAGGGTTAGGGTTAGGGTTAGGGTTAGGGTTAGGGTTAGGGTTAGGGTTAGGGTTAGGGTTAGGGTTAGGGTTAGGGTTAGGGTTAGGGTTAGGGTTAGGGTTAGGGTTAGGGTTAGGGTTAGGGTTAGGGTTAGGGTTAGGGTTAGGGTTAGGGTTAGGGTTAGGGTTAGGGTTAGGGTTAGGGTTAGGGTTAGGGTTAGGGTTAGGGTTAGGGTTAGGGTTAGGGTTAGGGTTAGGGTTAGGGTTAGGGTTAGGGTTAGGGTTAGGGTTAGGGTTAGGGTTAGGGTTAGGGTTAGGGTTAGGGTTAGGGTTAGGGTTAGGGTTAGGGTTAGGGTTAGGGTTAGGGTTAGGGTTAGGGTTAGGGTTAGGGTTAGGGTTAGGGTTAGGGTTAGGGTTAGGGTTAGGGTTAGGGTTAGGGTTAGGGTTAGGGTTAGGGTTAGGGCTAGGGTTAGGGTTAGGGTTAGGGTTAGGGTTAGGGTTAGGGTTAGGGTTAGGGTTAGG